CCGCACGCATCAAGTAATAACTTAGAAATTCAATGGTATGCATGTAAATCCGAAATATCCATGTATATTCAACAATATTCATCGTGAACGACAAATGAATATTACTGAATATACATAGATATGCCAAATTTACGTGTATACGTATGAAAAATAAAAATAATAGGGAATCAATCCTTCAACCGTAAATTTGATTGATTTTGGTAGATAACGGTGAATATTGGAACATTTTTTGACATTACAGTCTAATGAAAATTATTAAATATACATAGATATTTGAGATTGACGTGCATACCAGTAAATTTGTGCAGATTTTATCGTCAAATTTTTTTCCAATATTCATCGTTATCTACCAAAAACCTTCAAAAGTGGTTCAAATTTTCGGTTGAAGGTTTGATTCACTATTATTTTTATTTTTTCAGAGTTATTTGCGTTCTGCAAAATCGCGTGAAGCCCCTAGCATGAATATCTAATTTTATTAACCGTATATCAGTATAATTTAACTAAGAATGTCTTGAAACAAAAAAATCGCATCCATCTGAAAAGTGGTTTCCAAAGATAAATCCAAAAAAAATTTACGATTGAATGCATGAATTGTATAAACATCATTGACTTTGATTTGCATTAGCATTCCCCTGAAAAAAATGCTCTTGAGCAATAGAAATTACATCAATGTTGTAGGTATTAAAGAAAAAGCCCGCCTGTTCAATCTTGCAAAAATAAACATTAATAAAGTTTGTAATCGATGCCGAAAATGTGATTTTTATTTCATAATGACAAAAAAATGATTTACACTTTAATTCTATTTAGCCATGAGTATATTTAGCGTTTGTGTTATTCCAAGGTTTGACGATGATTCATCGCTATTCATCCGATCAAGAAAGACAAACAACTCTTTGTCGACTGTTTGACGTAAAGTTCATTTCATGTTTATTTTTAGCACAACATTTAGTACTGTGAGATTGAATGAAAAAAAAGACGACCTAACCTCCGTTTGCATATTTGCGTCTCTATAATATGCATTGACTCCTGAACAAGTATTTGCGTGTGTAAAAGTTATGGGTTGAAGCCGTTTGTTAAAATACATAAATTGATCGCAATAGTTCATTCGAAATACTGTTCAAAGGCACAATCAGCAATGAATAATTTGTGGAAGAAGGAATCAAAAGGAGCTGGAGCTCAGTATGTTGATCTGTTTGCTCATCTCAATGACGAACAAAAATAAGAGCTGATTGATGATCAAGTCACAAAGATAATCAATCTTCAAGAATGTACCGTCAGCGTTGAGATGATTTTTTTCGAGACGAAAACTGGTCCGAGGCAATGGATGCATGCAATGAAGGTTTGCGTTACGCAGACGAATCTGAAAATGTTTCAATTGTATACTTGAACAGATCGTCGTGTTTTTTCAATATGAAAATGTACGAGAAATCATTGATTGATGCTGAACACGCAATGAGTTCAAGTACTCGTAGACGACGGAAATCTCTCAAGGAAAATTGGGGATTCGATTGCAAGTGCAACAAATGCAAACCCCAAAAGAAAATATGAAACGTATGCTGCGAGTTTTTGAACAAACAAAATGGTTAAAACCGATTGGAGAATCGTGATCGTTGTAAATGTATCAGAAATCGCAGTAGAAGGAGAAATAACTAAATCGTAAAAGAGAGAAATAACTTAATCATTGTTTTTTTTGATAATTAAAATTTGACAAATTATTGAGTTAAACTTTTAAAATTCCATATATAGTCTCAAATCCCTAACTTTGTGTGCGAATTCCTCAGACACAGGCACGAAGCTATCAATTCTGATGTTTAAATCAAATCCATGTTTGAAACTTTTTGTTAGAAACTCCACGAGCAACAGTAAATCGGTAGCTAAATTTTTGCAGGATTGATTACAAATTTCATCGCTAACCCATCATTAATAAAATTAGAATATCTTTGTAATTTTTCTAGTTTAAGAGAAGTTCATAAAATAAATTGAGCTCAGATTCAGTTTGCAAACTGATTAGATGAATAAACACAGAAGAAATGAAGGTTTGAATAAAAAATTGTACGAAAATAATCATACTATTTCGCTTTTGACTACCATCCTATCTTTATTTTAAATCACAATTCTAAATATATATCGAAAAATTGCCAATAATATTCCAGATATGTCAGGATTATTGAATTGAATCGAGATTGCATCGTTTCATCACACCCATTATACAGTTAGTGCGCTTCTCATGTTCAATTTTTGAATAAAATTGGATACAAAGTGAAATATAACAGTAACCGTCTTTTTAAATTCCTTTCACAGATAACAGTGTAAACGTCATATTTCAGCTGTATTGGCTGCAAACTGTACATCTGACATTTACACTGCTATTTATGGTGAACGTTCTAGAAAACCGTTAATCACACTATCGTAATATCGCAATGAAATGTGTTGTTATCAGCTTATGCATTTGCCGACTTGGCAGTAGCTACTCACATAATCTTTCAACACGATTTATAATATTCTGAGTAATTCATTTAATACACGTTTACTTTTCATTCAAAACGCCTCTCCGAGATCAATTGGTGATTTGATTCTTATTGAAACAAAGTTTCTTCAAAGTAAAGTTTATAGTATCAAAATTATTGAGCCAACCTCAAGTTTGGTTGTTTGTATTGCTTATTCATTCGAAGCCACATAAAACAGTGAGTATGTATACCTACTTCATGAGAATAAAAATTTCTTAAATTCATGAAAATAATAACTTACAGAAGCACTGATTGAATCAAGCATGGATATTTTATGGAGAAAAGAAACCGTTAAAAATCAGACCAGACACATTGATCTGTTCGCACCTTTGGAAGAAGATGATAAATGGAATGATGAAGCAATGAGAGAATTGAGAACGCTAACATTTCGTAAGGATAATAGAAAATCATCGGAAAGTCGGGAGCTGGGAAATGAAACTTTTGCAGTGAAAAATTGGTCAGGTGCAATGGAATATTACAATCAAAGTTTGCGCTTCGCAGAGATCGGAACCGAGAATGTGGCCTTAGCCTATTCCAACCGATCGGCATGTTTTTTCAAACTAAACATGTTTGATGAAGCATTGGGAGACATTGAACTGGCCAAAAAAGAAAAATTGCCTGAACGCCTTTTGCCAAAGCTTGAACAACGTAAGCAAAAATGTTTGGATTTATTGGAAGCGGTACGACGTGAGCCCGAATATCCACCAGAGCTAGACTATGAACCAAATAAAAATTTCCCTTGTTTGGCTAACAAAGTCGATATAAAACATAACCCAGATTTTGGTCGACATTTGATCGCTAATAGTGACATTCCAAAGGGCAAAACGATTTTGTTGGAAAAAGCGTTTGCAGTCAGTCATATCCAAGATTCATCTATATGCTATACATGTTACCCAATGAACCACATGTAATGCTAAATGTGTGGAATACATACATGAAAATGTAATGCTAAATGTAATGGAAAATGTGTAAAAAATGTGCTTGATTTTAATCTCATTTATACACAAAATTTGTGCACTTTTTTTGTGCATACATTTCGAATTGTTTTCATGGAATTGTGTAAGGAATTATATCAAATTATATGCATATATTGTGCATTTCCATCGAAAAATAAATAAATTAAAAACACTTTATTATATACTGTCTTACAATTCAAAATTTATTATATAAACCAACAAGAATCATATTAATGTATGAAGCAATGGGGTAAAAACTAGTTTGTCTTCATAGTGCAGACAAACCAATTTTGCTTTAACCTTTTCTATAGCGTAATAATGCGCTGGATATTTTTCGTCTTTAGCTACGTATGTGTTAATAAATTTGGATGAAAACGGTTGAGTAAAAAAAATTTCTGGCTTCTTGATTCGACTTCCATTCAAGAAATAATTGTCGTTATGTTTTGTAGCAAAATGAAATTCAACAATTTTATCATCGTTCGTTAAAAACCATTTATCGCCAAATTTTCGGCTGCTCAAAAAAGAATGTGAGCCCAAAGAAATTTGACTATAACGAAAATCAGTTGATCCACTGTTTTCGATCAAATATTTGAGTTCATGGTCATTGCTTTCATCACGCTGTATATCATTCAAATCTAAAGGCTCACGATAGTCCAAGTTAAGTTCGAGTATTCTGCGAGATATTTGTTCTAACGGGCTATTACATGTCCGGAGTTTCAACTTCAGACCGAAAAGAGCATTTTCGAACGGATATGTATCGATTTTCGTTAAATTCCCGAACCTCCTAACATCATCAACTACGTGCGTCAAATTATGAACGTTGCTTCCAATTGATTCGATGCCATACAAATCAATGTTGTCTTCAATATACTCATCAAAACAAACTTGGGCCAGATCTAAGTGACGTAAATAATTGTCATGTGAGCATAATGTTACTGCACAGTGTAGTTTCAGAAAATGATTATATTCTTCCTCTCGAAGAGTTTGTTTCAAAACTACTATTCCTATGTAATGCAGGAAGCAACGAAATTCTGTCCCCTTCCAAAATTTGATGCAGTTCAAATTGCGGACGGATCGGTGTATATCGAATGGCATGTCTGCGTTACAATTTGCTAGTAATGTGTTGGTGTTCCTAATGTCATTCTGATTCCATTTAAACTCAAAGTTATCCTTTTCACCCATCCAGATCAACAACAATCTTTTCATAATTCCCAAATGGAATAAATGTAACGAGTCTGATGTAACGAAGTCAGCGACCATATTAATGGGAAGCTCCTCAATTATCGAATACTCGCGATGGTGTCCTGGATTTGCCCGACTTCTGAAAGAGTCATTCGTTCGTTTTTGGGCATCAATGTGAGGAAAACTCATTCGAGACTTCTGCGTAGAATGTTCGCCAATCGTTGTGCATTTTTGACATCCTTCTGCAGCATTATGATATTTACAGCCTAGAGAGACATTAAGAGAATATTCAAAATACCGAAACGAATCAACAAACGCTAAAAATGAAATTAAAGTACTGAAAACATAGACGAAGTACCGA